GGAACTTGGATTTGGATTTCAAATCCAAATTTGATTCAAATTACATGCTTGTGAATCCAAAAATTTTAGAATTGGATTTGTGCCAATTTCTCTATTTCTCAACAAAGCTCAATTACAAATCCATGCACTCCCCATTGTAATTTGAAATCGAAGCGTTCATATTTTAGAATTGAAATCAAAGTTCAGAAGCACTACCTTGTGTTATTTAACACAGTTATCTTATGAGTCCTCTTTTGAATTCATTAGCTCCTATCAGACGACATAACAGCTGGACATTTGATGAAAAAGTTCTCTTGCAGTCCCTTTACAAGGTAATGAATCTATTTCTTCTCCCAAAGTTACTGCATGAATTTCTTTTGCGCGTAGTTACATGTCTCAAATGCCGTTAACAGAGAGGAGGTGTGATTTGCAGGTTATGGTTTCGATCTCAGCAACTGAGTGCATCATTCTCTACATCAGGGATATAGATAGACACCTTCAATGTCCAAGGTTTCACAAGCTTTTTGAGAGAATGCTGAAGAAACTATCAGGACCGGTCTTGGTTCTTGGGTCTCGTATGATAGAGCATAATGACGATAGTGGTGAACTTGATGAGAAAGTCAGTCTATTGTTTCCATACAATGTTGAGATAAGGCCACCTGAAGATGAGACTCACCTTATAAGCTGGAAGTTCCTGGAAGAGGAAATGAAGAAGATCCAGTTTCAGGACAACAAAAATCACATCTCGGCGGTACTTGCTGCAAATGACATTGAATGTGATGATCTAGGGTCAATCAGTCAAGCGCACATCCTGCTCTTGAGCAACTACATTGAGGAAATTGTTGTTTCTGCAATATCATATCATCTGATGCATAACAAGGATCTAGAATATCGAAATGGAAAGCTTGTTATATCATCCAAGAGGTAGTTGGTAAATTCTCTTATGCTGTTAAGCCTGTTATAATAATAATAATAATAATAATAATAATAATAATAATAATAATAATAATAATAATAATAATAACAACAACAATTGGCACATGGTCTCTTAGTGTGGTTGCATAAATGTTCTTGTATTTACTGCAATCTCCATGGAACAGTTTGTCCCGTGGGTTAAGCATATTTCACGAAGGAAAGAATGGGCACAGAGGCTCTCTCAAACTGGAAACAAATGCTGATTCATCAAAGGTGGGTATTGCATCTTGGCGTTCTGCATTTAAAAGTATATGTTTTTATAGTGGGGCGTGATGGCATTTTTTTGTATGTTATTAGGATACTGAAGGGGAAAAGTCTGGAGACCCTGAAAGTAAAAGTGAAATTGAAAAACCAGTGAAAAAGGATGGTGAAAATGCGCCTGCAGCAAATGCCCCTGTAAGCTTAGTTTTTTAGCTTTAAATGCGTCTTGTCCAACCCTTACTAAATGACAACCATATCTTTTTTACCTCCTCGAAGTTTCTAGTAAATGTAAGTTTGGTCATATATATAATCTTTCACCAAGTGTAATTTCATCCAATTAATTGTACCCGGATTGATTTAATCAAATTTTAAATGCTCTGCAGTATAAGATATGAGACTAGCATTGCGGACACAGTTCTACTAGTATGTACAGCTTTATTTCCTCAATGTTATTTAGTTGAGAAACCATGTCTTAATCTTAGCTTTGATTTCCTCAGGAAGTTCCTCCTGATAATGAATTTGAAAAGCGGATTAGACCTGAGGTAATTCCTGCAAATGAGATTGGGGTGACTTTTGAAGATATCGGCGCCCTGGATGAGACCAAGGAATCACTTCAAGAACTGGTTATGCTTCCTCTTCGGAGACCTGACCTCTTCAATGGTGGACTGCTTAAGCCCTGCCGGGGCATATTACTGTTTGGTCCTCCCGGTACTGGAAAAACTATGCTGGCAAAGGCAATTGCCAATGAAGCTGGAGCAAGCTTTATAAATGTTTCAATGTCAACCATCACATCAAAATGGTTTGGTGAAGATGAGAAGACTGTCCGAGCTTTGTTCACTCTTGCAGCCAAAGTTTCTCCCACAATTATATTTGTGGACGAGGTTGATAGCATGCTTGGGCAGCGATCAAGAGTTGGAGAACATGAAGCCATGCGGAAAATTAAGAATGAATTCATGAGTCACTGGGATGGATTATTAACTAAATCTGGCGAGCGCATACTTGTTCTCGCAGCAACCAATAGGCCATTTGACCTCGACGAAGCAATTATTAGACGGTTCGAGCGCAGGTAACACTCATAATAATTATGACAAATATGGATTAGAATTTTCCCCTTGTCTAGTAATTATTTTGTGAAAACATTCTTGTTTAGCAGGGTTCTGTTTTTTTTTCTCTTCTTCATAACATTTGATTGTTCTGGAAGTGCACACTCTTTTCACATTTGGAAACCAAAAGGATATTTAAATATTTTGCCAGCCCAACTATATTGGGAAAATAGTCTAAGTTTAGTTATGGGTCCTGAAGATGAGAAATCTCTGTTTTGTGGAGCAGAATTATGGTTGGTCTACCATCAGTAGAGAGCAGAGAAAAGATCTTGAGAACTCTACTAGCAAAGGAAAAAGTAGAAGACATTGATTTCAAAGAGCTTGCAACCATGACTGAAGGGTATAGTGGAAGTGATCTCAAGGTTTGTACTTGAAAAGACTTTATAATGAGTAAGCATGTTATTGTCTGTGACTGCCACTAATGGGCCATTATTGAATGCAGAATTTGTGTATAACAGCGGCTTACCGACCTGTGAGAGAGCTAATACAGCAAGAGCGGGAGAAGGATACGGTACTATATATTAATGATAACCTCATATCTTTCTACTCGTATTAGATTTTAAATACGGAGTAATTTCTAATAAGTGGCTCACTTTTAGGAAAAGAAGCACAAAGCTGAGGCTGGACAAAGTTCAGAAGATGCCTCTGTCAAGAAAGACCAGCCAGAGGAGAGAGTTATCACTTTGAGGCCTCTGAACATGGAAGACATGAAGCTAGCAAAGAATCAGGTAATTTACCCCCAATTTCGTCTGCTATAATAATTTCCCAGAAGCAAAAGAATATTTCTCAGAGACCAAAATCCAAGATAGAGTAGCTCTCACTTTAAACAATGTTAATATGAGATTTTGTGGTTAATAACTCGGCCTCGCAGGTCGCTGCAAGTTTTGCTTCGGGGGGATCCATAATGGCTGAGCTCAAGCAGTGGAATGAGCTATACGGAGAAGGAGGTTCAAGAAAGAAGGAACAGTTGTCTTACTTCTTTTAGGCACACACTCATTTATTGGTGTACCATTCTTGTGATGGAGTGATATTTATGATGGCTACCTGCATATATCCCTTGAATCTTGGAGGACTGGAGGTCCAATCCCTTTTCACAGGCACCAAATCCTTGGGTTTTGCTGTTCTGGCATCATAGAGATCTGCTGCATCCCATCATATTATGTTGTTTCATTTCATTCATATGCATAGTTTATGCCACTGTACTATATTCAATAGGGAAGTGTAATTGATCCCACCATATGTATTTGGAATTTTATGATGTTAATAGTCTGTTGGGTGTGAAGTCTTCCTAGTCACAATCTAGTAGAATTTGCTGGAAATGTAGTGTGTGAATCCCATACATATGAAGTTGTGCTAATTAAGTGGTGTGTTTTTATATATATGCTGTGAAATGAAAGGTATTTTTATGAGTTCATTCCTTATTTTTACTCCCTCCCTATCTTTTGTTATCCTCCTGTCTTAAAAATAAAATTATTATCTGACTTTACAATTAAGAAAAGTTAGTAAAATAAAAAAAAAATGGTTAATATTTGTTCTTCTCCCTTTTGAGTAATGATGCTCCCTTTCAATAAATTTTTTCGACAAGTCCTAAATTGCCCTTCTTCGATCATTATATTTGACTTAAAAGATAGCGTTATTAAAGAACCCAATTGTGTGACACTTATAATCCATTGGTTCAAAATGAACTTTTGTTGTCTATTCTAAAATAAACTTTAAAATTTTTTAATTTTTTAGAACATTATTTGTCTTAGAGCATTTGCAGTGGCGTGGAGAATAGCCTCCACGCACTGCCACATCATCACCAAATTTGTTTCTCCACGCGTGTCAATTGCTTTTTGACTCTCTCCGCGAGTCATTGCCGAGGCATAGAATATGTGTGCGGGTCCTTTTTCATGTTTTGTTTGCTGAGTTCTTTTCATTATTTCTAATTTTGTTTGCCTGGTCCTTTTCAAGTTTTCTAATTTATTTTGTTTAATTTATATTATGATTTTTAAATTTGTTAATTTGATTATCCAATATGAAATATTTTTATATTTACTTTCAATTTCTTTTTTTATATAAAAAAAACTTTTTCTATAATGGTAACAACTAACAGGCAACTTATTTTGGGACGAAGAAAAAAGACAAACAAGCAATTTAAAATGGGACGGAGGGAGTATTAAATATACCATGAAAAAGGGAAGCATAAAAAATGTTATAAAAAATCTAAAATAGTAACTATGACATTTTTGGGAACGGAGAGAGTATAAACAAAGTAGAATTATTTTTATAAAAATATTAAATAAAATAATTATTAATAATTAAATACATAAAAATGTAAAAAAGTGACAAAGATAATGACTTGCCACTGCAATGCATGTCACTCCATGCTCTTGCCACACGATGACTGGACTGTTTTCTATTGGTTGAAATGTTCCACGTCAACGTGTGGCATTCCATTTTTTGCCTTGCCATTGCCCATGCTCTTATACGAAAATAAATTTCAATCACTCAACATTTTTCTTAACACTTTTCATAACCTTGGTAATGTCAAAGTGTCAATTCATGAAGTGAGGAGTTTATAATTTGTAAAAGTCCGACATAAATATTTATTTTATATGCCACATGTCCTACAAATAAAGTTCTATTTAATTTTTCATTGTTTTCAAAGTGATAATTTAACCATTAATATTTAAATTTATACATATATAAATTTAATACAAAATTAGAAATCTATATATCTCATTATGAGCAATTGGGTTACTTCATTATGACATCTATTAAATAGCTAGAATAAATACCGTATTGCAAAGAATTATAAATATAGATTGTCTAAGCTTTGAGCCAATAGAATGATGTTGACCCGATTGAAAGAAATATGAAGTATGTTAAAAGTGTAATGTAGAAAGAAGTTTACATTTTTTGGCGCACATGTATCGGAGTATTGGTCCCTATTTTTCAAACCATAGGGGCACTAGTGCTTATTTCTATTTTGTTTATGTTTTTTTGTTTTCCACTTTTCTCCTTTATTTTTTCTTTTATTAATCAAGATTTTTTTAAATTTCATTTTAAAATTGTTTTTATACTCCGTAGTATTCTTAAATTTAAAATTATATGTTAATTATTGAGTGTGGTAGTGTAACAATATCAGTGTGAAATTCTATTTTCATATTAAAAGATCTATGATTTCTATTTTGATATTTTCATCATTTTTGAATTCTACCATCATTTTTTCTCGGGCTGTCTTTGATTGAAAAAAACAATAATAGTATGTTTGGGAACATGGATTTGGATTTCAAATTCGGATTTGGCTTAAATTCCATGTTTGGGAAACTTAACACTATGTTTGGTTCAAGGAATTTGAAAGGGAAAAGAAAAGAAAATGAAGTGGAAAACCATTTTTCTTGTTTGGTTAGAGGGGAAAAGAAAGGAAAAGTGGAAGAAAAAGAAAATGAGGAGGCAAAATGTACCAAGTGGTGGAAAAATCAAATTCCTTCCATTTTGGTGAGGAAAATGAGATAAAACTATTTTCTTTTCCTTTCCTTCCAAAATTCTTGAGCCAAACATAGTGTAAGTATTTTGAATTTGGATTTGAATCAAATCCTTTACATTCAAAATAAAAAACAAAACTTAATTTGAAATCCATGCACCTTCCTTTGTCATTTGAAATTTAGGATTTTAAATTTTGGAATTGAAATGCATGAATTGAAATAAAATGCTAGTTGCCAAACACTACTTAATGTTCATCAGAGAATATAAATGCAATATTAACATGGAAAATGCTAAAGAGGCACCACGTGTGCCTCCAAGCATGCTACCAAATATACACTCTAATTAATTTTTTTTTTATTTTTTCTTTTTCCCCTTCTCCCCATTCTCTCTCCAACCCTTCTCCCGATTCTTCTTCCCCAAAATTCTCTTCCCGGCAAAATCCCCACCAGCGACCCTCCATCTCCAGCGCACACCGGCCCCACCACCACCATCGTCGTCTCCCAACCCTCCACCTCCCTCGCCGGAAGCCCAACCTTCGACTTCCAGCGCAGGCAGCCCAACCCTCGAATTACAGGCCAAACCCTCCACCTCCAGCAGCGGCAGCCTTACCCGTCCACCTCCAGCGCCGGTAGTCCTGTTAATCCCAAACAGGTACTCCACTTAATTTCCCTCTCCTTTGTCTTTGCCTATTATTTCAATTTTATTGGTGTATTTAAACTTTGTGTTAATGTAGTTGTGGATTTGATAATAGTATGTTTGTGTAATTTCAAATTTCCATAATGTAGTTTCATTGATTAACTTCTATTATTTGAACTTGATATCAGATTATTGTCTATTAAATTTGGTTGATTGTAAAATTGCCTTTGTGAATTATATGGCACGGATGGTTAAGTTCTGTTATTTGAACTTCATATAACATTATTGTATATGAAACAGGTCTACTTGTTTTTTTTGCTAGCTTGCTTTGAATGATATGCCATAGACGATTAACTTCTGTTGATTGAGCTTCATATACGATTATTGTCTGTGTAGATATTTAACTTGTGTTAATTGAACTTCATTTCAGACAATGTCTTTGTTAATCCCTGTAAGTGCTCATTTTGGAGCTCAGTACTCAGTTTGTTCTGACATCCGTGAAGCCATCAAAAACATTGAGAAAAAATTGAGTCCGGGCCAATTGCAAGAATTTCGCAAGACTCCAATTGGCCACTTCATGGGGCTTAAGAACCTCCAATTTTCTGGCCAGATCATTCACCAAATGCTTTTGTTGCTTGTTGAGGATCAACCTGACGATGAATTCTGGATCCTTCGAAATGGTGAAATTGTCAAATTCACTTTCAACGACTGGTGCAGAATTACAGGGTTGCCGAACACAAAGAGGTACCCAGCTCTTAACGACAAACAGCTTGGACAGAGCTCACTGTGTCACACATTCTTAGGAGGGGAGGTCACGAAGTGCACCTTCAAGCATGTCCGAGAGAAGTATGTTGCAGCGGAGAATAACATGGATTCGGAGAAAATGGTTGACTTTTCCATGCTCTACTTCATTGAGTCTGTCCTTCTAGCAAAGGATAGATCTACATGCATCGAATCAACCCATTTGCATCTTGTCGAAGAGCCCAAAAAGTTCAAATCTTATCCATGGGCTTGGGAGTCGTACTTACTTACTATACGACATATGAAAGGTGCAATGGATGGTCAGCCCGAAAAATTTGAAAATAAGAGCAAGGAAACCTCAAACTACAAATCCTTAAAATACACCTTCTATGGTTTTCCATTGCCTATTCATGTTAGTATATGAACACCACATACATTATAACACTTACTTGGAATATTCATTAATTTTATTTTTACTTTTGTCTAAGGTGTGGGCTTATGAGTGTTTTCCGGAGTTGGTTGAAAAAAACCTTGCTCTAAAAGAGGGGACTTCGTCTTGTGAAATTATTAATTGGGCATCAAAGAAGTTTCCAAAAGCAGTGACACTTAAGGACATTTTCTTTCGTGATTTGCAACAAAAGAAGGTAATATATTCACTGACTTTTAACCTCTGTGAATTACTATAATATCTACAGTAACTGTCTGGGAATATATATGGTTTATGTTCTTGATTGTACACAGAATTCTGATGCCGATACCCTTCGAGCCATTAGAGATTTGAGGAAAAGGATTGATGGAGTTGAAGTGAAGATTGATGCCATCAAGAAGTTGTTGGTGGAGGTTGTTATGAAGCTGAATTCAAGTGGCCGAAGGAGAAGATCTGTTAGAATTCAGAGACAGAAGAGAGCAAGGACAAAGGCGGCTGCTGCGGAAGATGATGAGGTTTCAGAAGAAGATGATGAAATCGAGGAGGGTGCTGAGGAAAATGAGGAAGAGACTGGTTCAGATGAAGATGCAGATGAGCCTCAGGAAAATAAGGAGGAGAGTATGGAAATTGAGGACGACACTGAGGAGACGGGGGAAACTGAAGAGGAGAATGCGCTTGGGGAGAATGAGGATACTGAGAAAAATGAGGATGAGCACAGTCCTCTAGAGAAGTCTCACAAGGACGAGGATCGTGCCGAAATGGAGGGGACTGCTGAACATGTAATTTACAGTTTGTGCATTACATTGATAACTTCTACCAATGATGTGCATCTTTTTTTTCACATGCGTGTGTGTTTGTATGGTGCAGGAACCCCAAGACATCATGTTTGTTGTGGATTCACATATGGTTGAAGTGGATGACAAGGAGGATGACGATTTAGATGAAGACAAGCTTCTCATGGAATTGACTCTCAACAAGGTAAAATTCCTTAAGTAGGTTATTTTTACTTAAATTTTTTTCTTTTGCTAGAGACAATTTAATGCATTATTTACGTAGGAAAAGCTGTTGGGTAAGGGAAAACATGTGATCAACGAACCGTTACAGAAGAGAAAGAGACAAAAATCAAAGTACTACTGCAGCCCTTTTACAGACCCCCGACCGCGTAAGATTGCGCGACCAAATGTGAATCCGTTCACAATTGAAATAACAGCTGAAGATTGGAACAGTCTTGAGAGTTGGATACATGAAGCGGACAATGTCTCTCCCATGACAATTGAACTACAGTCCAAAGGTGTTGGTCACGTGAATCGAGACTTCTTCCGTGATCTTATAGATCAGGAAAAATGGCTAAGCAATGATGTAAGTAAGCTGTAGTGGTTAAATTAATTTCTGTATCATGACATTAAATAACTTGTTTCTGTTATATGTTAAGCACCTGGAGGCTATTATGGACAATATGCTGGAAGTTCTCAATGGGATAGAGCGCAAGAACTACACTGCTGTTGGACCAGTGTTTGTGGTAAGGCCAAATCTGGTTCTAAATTTTTGATTCTGCTAAAGATAAGGAGATGTTCAAAAGTCTTATGTTTTTTCTTGTTTAGAACCACTTACTACGTATGAGTGCCGATGAATGTGTGTGGTCTAAGGATAAGTTCTTAAACAAGTTTGATTGGTCTGGCGTTGAAAAGGTACTAAGATTCTTCTGAATTTCCCTGAACTTAAACACATGTGAATCTCTCTTCACATATACAAATTGTCTGTGTGTATTGTAAATTTTTTTCAACATTGATGTGTAGATTTTTTTGCCCGTTAATGGAGATGGGAGGCATTGGCTTCTAGCTGAAATAGATCTCTTGCGAAATCAAGTTCGAGTTTACGACTCCTTGAAAGGGCCGAAATCCTCATTCTACGTTAAAGAAGTAGTAAGAAGAATACCCCCCTACTTCGCATGGTTAAGGGTGTGGGTGCAAACACTTTGGACAAGGAATGGGAAACAGTTGTTGTCAATGGTATTCCGCAACAAGACTCTAGGTTTGTTCGCCATTACTTCGTTATGCTACTCCCATGGACGGGTGAAAATCATCTCAGCCAACCTATTTATTTTAATACTATTTTCCCTTGCCTGGTATGGCAATTGTGGAGTGATGGTGCTTGCATATCTAGAGTATTTGTTGGTTGGCTTACCATTAAGTCCAGACTGCAGTTCTGAACACATGCCTGATTTCCGATGTCAATTTGCAGCTAGGTTATGGCGTGGAAGGAAAACTACCAATATTTAGCTTTTTCACAATCATATTGTAGGGATCTCACATATGTTTGTGAAACTCTTTGTAATGGTTTTTGTGCTTTGTAATGTATTTTTTGGGGAAACACTTGTTAATGAACAATCTGTTACTGTGTGTTATGAATGAATTACCTTAACTCATGACTGAATTACAGATTTACTTTTAGATCCTTCACAGAGAATAACTGTCTATTTTAACTGTTACACAGAGCTTCAACGTATGTGACAGAGTTCCATATTGTTATGCACTTCAGTTTTTTTTTTGACATCTTTGTAATGGGCCAAAACTCATGTGATGAATGATTTACCTTAGTTTATGCCTGAATTACATATTTACTTTCAGATCCCTCCCAGAGATTAACTGTCTATTTTACACATTACACAGAGCTTTAATGTATGTGCTAACAGAGTTACTTAACGTTATGCACATACACCAACTTCAGATTCTCATCACATATGTGGGGGTCTTGTATAGCTAAAAACAAAGTTAAAACGGATACATAAGATTTCTTGGTGCTCACATGGAATAACTGTCTATGTCATACACTCCACAGAGACTTAATGTATGTGAATACAGAGTTACATCAGGTTTACATCAGCTTATGTGCAGGGAACTCAGAGAAAGTTATCATACTTGTTACATACTTTACACAAAAAACAAAAAGCAAAAAAGTATGTGATTTACAGTTCCCATGCTCATTCCAAAAAATCAGAGCTTCGGTACCTAGATCTGATGCAAAAAAAAATAGCTGTTAAAAGTCACTGTAGTGAGAGGCCAAGATCCAGACCTCCCAATGTGAGGTCGTAAACTCCATCTTCATCTTGCACGGGCCAAGCATGCTGCCTTTGTGATGCCAGACCTCCCAATGTGAGGTCGCAAACTCCATCTTTCTTCCTCTTCTTAGGTAGGTTATCTTTTTTTCTACCTTCTTTAGGTTTTGGGTCTTTCTCTGTAGTCCTTTTTCTTGTTTTCTTTTGACCACACTTTTCCCTGTTGGACTTGAGACGACTCTTTCTTGGAGCTCCCTTGCGTGTGCCGATTAATGGGTCTAACACAACTGGAGTGCTTGTTGTATGTTCGGGAATTTCTTGAACTCCCGTGGATGGATTTTTGCTTCTCATTGCTTCTACAGACATCTCCTTCTGAATCCAATCCATTATCTCCTTTGTGCGGTATTCATCGTCTACGACTTTATTTGCCAAAGCCCGAAAACTGTTGCACAAGTCATCATACCGTTGTTGTTCGACAGTACATATCCAGCCATCATAATCTACTTTGACCCGTGTGTATGCCCGCTTCACATCACGCCTCCATCGCTCTAGGATATACTTCTCAGGCAAAAACCTAACACCATTTCGAATGAAGACAACAATGCAATGTCTACAAATCATCCCTTTAAACTCAAAAAGATGGCAAGTGCACTCCACCTCTTGTTTACATTGATCAAAGGCGACTTCATAAAACTTCCTCGTGCGAAACCCTTTGATGCACACGTCCTCCTCAACTACAAAAGTATCACCAATGTTGCTTATAATGTCGCAGTATACTTTCCCAAGAAGTTCAGTCTGAAACTCTTTAAATTTGGAAATAGTGTATACGTCTTGAAGTTGTTTCTCCATTTCATACATAGTGACACATGGGATCATTTTTGCAAAGGAGCTAGCATCTGCTTGAAACTCCATTTCCACTTTTTTCCTAAGCGCACGGTCGTATTGATCAACAAATTGCTTGAGTGTTGTCTTTGAATGCACGTAGCCATCAAAGAAAGCATTCATGCCTTCACTACGGTGCGTTGAGGACATACCTGTGGAAGAAAGTAATGTTTAACACAATTTAAACGTGATAGACAATTACTGTCTGTGAGTAACACTCTCACAGACAGTAATTTTCAAGTTTAAAAAAACAGAACACATAAAATAAGTACCTGCCCAAAAAGAAGTTCGTAGATAACATGGAACCCATCTCTGTCTCCAAAAAAACATCTCAGCCAACCAATCATTGTCATTTAGATCCTCATCCATAATCATTTCTCTCCAGCCTTGCTCAAATTCTGTGATAACATGAACATCATACACAAGGTTGTTTATCTTATCCATGATTTCAACTTTATCAGACCTACCTCCTAACTTTTCAGGCAATTTGTTAAGAATATGCCAAAGACACCAACGATGTTTAATGCCTGGAAACACTATACTGATTGCGTTCACCATGGCTTGATCTTGATCTGTAATGATGCCTTGGGGTGGAACCCCATCCATACACTGAAGCCATGTCTTGAAAAGCCAAACAAATGACTCTGTATCTTCATGTGCAATTAAGCCGCAACCAAGAAGTACTGATTGCCCATGATGGTTTACACCTACGAATGGAGCAAACCGCAATTCATACTTGTTAGTCAAGTATGTAGTGTCAAATGTCACAACATCACCAAAGGATTTGTAACACTGACGACACCTGTTGTCCACCCAAAACACATTTCTAAGCCTTGATTCGTCGTCCACATCCATGCTAAAGAAAAACCCGTCATTCTTTGCTTGCATCTTGTTAAAATATCCTTGTATTGCCTCTGCATCTCCGAGGCCAAGTCTTAATCGTCTAAACTCTTCAATGTAATTTCGACAATCCTTCTCTATAAAGCCAAGTTCATCATATCCACCGGCTTCCACAACTGCTGCTTGAAAACTCTTGTGCAAGGGAATTCCAGCCTTGTCATTAACTTCAAGCTGCTTTTTAACACTAGCAGGCACACTACGATTACAACGATATATTCTAGATTTAGTAGGACTCAAGCCATGGTTATGCAATAACTGCACAACGGAGATCTTCCATATTCCATCACCATCACATGACGCAGTTACTCTTGCTTCACATCCCAATTGCATTGTCGGCCTCGGGTGGAACACATCTTGTGTTTTGCTCTTTTTATTTCCTTGACGACTACACACAAATGTAACACTTCTAGGAGTTCCATCTTTGGCTTTGCGAGTTGTCCTAGTCCGCATTGGAAATCCTACACTTCGAGCATAAGCCAGATAGTGTTCTCGAATTTCTTCAATGCTTGTAAATTTCATCCCCACATCAGGCACGCTCCCTTTGTTCCCTTTAGAAGGATATTGACCATTGCTCCGGACATTATTGTTAATGTCATCTGTGTTCTGTGGAATCTCACCACTCGCATGTTCTTGCCCTTCATTGTTAAATAAATACTGAAAGCAAGGATCGTTTAGAAACAAATCTGGTTCAAATGCTGCAAAAAACAATACCTTTAATATAATAAAATACCTGACTATGAAGAAAACAATAATAAACCAAATGCAGAGTGCATACAGATAATTAGCGTCTGTGACAAGGACAAACCCTAGGTTCACAGAACTTTAATCTCTGTAACATGAAAACAAAACAGTTTTTTTTCGCTACTTCAAATGAATATAGAATGGGGTCTAAATATCAACACTTACAAGTGGGCTGCAACTCAAATAAACCCAGGTCTTCTTCTTCACCACCAAAATCATGTGGTTGCTCATTCTCAACATGTGTAACAATAGATGTTTGTAAGTCCATAATCACCAACTATCCTATGTATCTACAAAAATTCAAAAAATTATTGCCATAGAAATTGAAAATGGAATGAAGAGAAGAGATTGAAAGAGGAATTTTCGTGCTACAGGGATTGGCGCACGGAGGAGAGAGCGCACGGAGAAGAGAGCGCACGGAGGAATTTTCGTGCTACAGAGATTGGGTTTACCTGCCAAGAAGGAGAGCGCACGGAGAAGAGAGCGGGTCGCTGGAGCCGAAGAGCAGAGCCACAGCGACGTAGAGGAAAGGAAAAAAAGAAAAAAAAAGTATGAGAAAAGGAAAAAAAAGAGCTTAAATAGGGAGGCAGCATAGGAGGCACCCGCGGGTGCACCCGCGGGTGCACTGTAGCATGGTCCTATTAACATAATGTCAAATGTCAAGTGTTGGACTTGCTTTTTGTTGTGAATACAATTCACAACCGTACTGTGAATGTGAGTTTGGGGAGACCTGCAACACATTGGAATCCAGTCGAATGGAGCAATCTGAATGGGAGAGATACGAAGAACTAGGGTTAAGGGAGGCCTTGAATCGACCCCATCGTTTCCCACTTGCTTGCAATGAGCTGAGCTCCATCCTCCTAAACGCATATTCTCAACTCCCGAAGAATCTTCAGTCTCTCATCTTCCAAGACACTCTCCTCGCCTTTCGCCTTCTTCCGGAGTATGTGTCTCATCTCCTCCCAGTGGTTCTCGAGTCTGATTTATCTGATTAGTCGTTTACTTATTCAGAATCGCATATGGAGTTCGATAAATTAGCTATGGGTTTGTTGATGAATCTTGAAATATGCAGTTCCTACTGTCGGCTTGAGCATCATTTAGATTCACTCTCCCTGTTGTGGTTGTGGTTGTGTAATTATTCTAAGATGGGTGTGCTATTTATAATCTATTGTCTAATCATAATGCAGAAATATGATTGTTAAATAAAATCTTATTTCTGAGTATTGATCTACAAATTTTTTAAGATATAATCTTGGTCTTCTGATTCTGCAACATATATGATCTAGAAAAGATATTTTTTCATTTTTTTTCAAAAAGAGGATCTAGATAAGATCTATCAAAGTAGATTCCTTCATATTGTGGTATGCTTTTATATGTTGCATTCTTTACTCTCTTGCTAAACCGACTAGCTACTGGTAGTAGATTTTAGGGACACTGTTGCTGATTCTTGTTAACATTAGAGTGCAGATGCAAGCTTCAATATCTGCAGTTAACTCCCTTTTGCATAGCGTGGAGGTTGCTTTGCCAAAACAAAAGAGGAATTTGGCTGCTAAAGAATTTAAACATGCAATCATTGCTCATAAGAGGCATTGCAAGGCCAGTTGTGATGAAGATGGTAGTTTTTATGTGAACACTTCCCTTTTCCTCAAAGAGACCTTACTTTACCTTAAATTACTTGCTCGCTGAATTCTAGCAAACTTCATACCTGCAAGAGTACTGCATGTGTGAAGAAAGACCATGTTAATCATAAAAAGTTGTTATATGAATTGATTTATGTTTTTTTAAAATCAAATTTGTGGTGTTCCGCTTATTGACTTCTGTTGTATTGTGCCATTCAGGTTCTATACAACTTCATCAAGATGTTCTTGCACACATTTTCCATTTTTTGGATTTACAAACTCTGTTATCTACTGCATCGGTTTGCCGGTACTGTTACCCTTTCAATTATGTTATGCCAATATCATAGTTGTAGTAGCTAATAAGAAAACAAGCCAATAGTTTCAAGGGTGCAATCATCAATTTGGGTAAAATTAATCTGCTGCAGCTTAATAGCATGTAACTGGTCAGGTCATGGAGAGGAGCAACTTGTGACAACCGTCTTTGGCAATTAATGTATACAGACTTTTTTGGCATTTCTAATAACCTCTCAAATGATATTGGATTTAGAAGCTGCGCATCATCTCAGAATGTGCAACACACGTGTCAAGAAGAAATAAACACTGCGACAAGTGTTGTTGACTGGCAAGAAGCTTTCAAGCGAGCTTATAAAGGTACATTTAAAATCTACAAATGTATAGCCCTGGGGAAACATATTCCTTCTTAACTACCCATTATCTGTCCTGTGCCTGCAACTATACCGATCTCTCTTTTTGTACTTATTTGCTGCCAATTTTGTTTTCATCTGTGGCTCCGCTCACAATTAGTTTCTTTTGTTCACATTCAGATTGGTCATCAAAAAAGCTACTAACATATCAGAGGGGCTACTGCAGTTACTGCCATTCTGTAGTTTGGCTTAATAATGGCAAGTGTTCTAACAAACACATTGGCAAGGGGTGTCGCTACCATGTGATCAAACCTGTTTCAACTCAACAGGTACTTTCTTTTGGGCATGTATGGATGCAATGAATAACCCAATTCTTAGTCGTCACGCCTCATTACAATTTAGGACAGGTCATATGGGTATATCAAATCTTCACTAATTTGGACTCTGCCCTTCTTTTCACTATTTATCACTAATTTGTGCAGATTGTTGACTATATATTATCGGGCTCCATAATTGGATCTTCTTGCAGTTCTGATAGTGATCAAGAAGACACTGAAGAATCTATGTTTAAGCTGTGGGCATTTCCTATGCGAGTTGGAAAGCCTCTATTAGGTCTGCAAAATGTATAAGAAACTGCTGCAATTTGAGCCTTTTGTAGTATTCACTATTACTCCCTCCCAAAATAAACTGATGCAATTTGAGCCTTTTTTCCATCATCTAAGGTGGAGCCAAAGATTCTCTTTTTCTTTTTTCTTTGGGGTAAAACTGTTTGCGCTTCTTTTAATAGTGAAGTAAGTAGCAGTTAATCATTGAAACTTTCGACGCTCATCACGGGTCATCCGGAAACAACTGTTTTATTTTTTTGACACAAGAATAGGTTGCGTACGTGATATCTGTTTTATGTTTTTGGAAACAGCCTCTCTAATTTTCAGTAGGGATATCTGTGTACCCACACCCTCCTTATGCTTTTATAGGATTCAAATGGGTTATTTTTGTTGCTGTTGCCGTTGTTTGTTTGTTTCATAGTAAAACATATATAATTCAATATACTCTATTAATCTCATTGCTCTTTGTATGAATGATGTCATTATATTACTCTATTTTTTAAAAAAATTTGCAGTAATGGTAGATAGGGTGAATGAGAAAAAGTTTGGGATATACTCTGTAAAATTAGAAAATAAACCGATGAGCCCGGTTCTTGGGAGTTGTTTCCTCTTGACTTTGTATCTACACTATTATTGAATTGATGTGATGTTTCCTTTGCCTAAAAAAAATAATACTAGCAAATTAATCAAATTTTGGAAAAGACTAAAGATAAAAACAGGGCAAATGAGTTTGTAGTTATTGTACAGAGTACAGTTTTAGGTAAATACTTGTTTGCATTTCAAATTTTAGAGAAGTCCCAAGGAAATTCAGTCCTTAGGCATCTTAACTAGAAAATTTCGGCCAATTGGTTTACTACGAATAACATAATCATTAAACCAATTGATGAGTCCATTTTAGATTCTAATAAATCCAAGCTTGACCGGTCAATGCTAGCCACCCATGACCGAGATTCGGATCCCGGGCCATGTTTGGCTAAAGCCTGTTTGGTTGAGGGGAAGGGAAGAAGAAGGAATGGTAGGGGATGGAGAGGCTTTAACCTTGTTTGGTTTCAAATTCATCCGAACTTCAATTTTGGATTGTTGCAGCTTTCCTCAGCTTCAGATTCAATTGATTCAACCCCAATTTTCAGATCGATCAACAGTGGTGATTCGAAGTCATCCGAACTTATTGTTGAAATTATAAGCTTTTTTGTAAGCAGAACAAAAAGGAAGAGCCAAGGACCTGGTGGTCTAATAATATCGACATGACTATCCTAAATGAGAAGTCATGTGTTGGACCTTAGTCATGTCATGGTTGCAACCTGACTCATTTCGTTGAACTATGTGAAATAGCTAGAGGGAACAGAGATTCACTACACCTTTCACGATCCCGGTACCATCGGCCGGGTCACGGGTAACGTTCCACCAAGTATTTCTCAGTTCATGAATTACCCAGCTAACCTGCAGACCATTCAAGGCTTTGCCCAAGTGATGTCAATGTGCTAGCAACCTGGAGGAATGTCATTCCTCCCGGGCTTGTTCCTTTGGCGCTACCAGGCGCGGGACAACTGCCAGGCTCCCATGGCTCTAACTCCCTTTCAAACACCGGTGCCGAAACCATCACCCGTCCAATCACATGAAAGCTCTCGGTTCCCCCTGTCAATCTGGCGAGCACCATGAAATCTGTCGGGCCTTCATGCCATCCACAGAGCACCTCGGATAGTCATTGCATCTCAATTAAGAGCAATGACAAAGAGTGTGACATTCCATTTGCCCACAAGAAGAAGGGCAAGGCTCCGAGACCTGCAACCTCCCGGAACTCAGCCTTCGACATGTTTGGAGAAAAGGAGGAGCGCTAGCGTAAGTCCCCCAAGTTGAGATTGGGACCCGGAGCATCCCATGTTTAGCCAATTTCCCGGATACATGAGGTTAGGGAGGTCGAGCCTGCCCGTTCCCTACGACCCTGGTCGAACTGGGCGGGGCGTGCCAAATCCCATGTCTCGCGCCAGAGAGAGGAAGCAGAAAACCAGCCACGAGAGCCGGTGAGAAGCCGACTGGGGAATCCAACTGACCGAGTCCAACAGATGGAAGCAAAGCTGGAAATGCTAGAGAAGATTGGAGAAGAGAAGAATGAGAAGGACAAGTGACCATTAGCGAATTCGCCCTTTATTGCGAGTGTCCATCGAACGCATTTTCCCTAGAAGGAAAAGATGGAAATCTCGAAGTTCACGGGTAAGGAAAATCTTGAAGCACATCTCAATTCCTTTCATCAGTGTGCCACGATGATGGGATGTACCAGTGAGGAAGAATGTCTCCTCTATTTCCAGTCACTATGTGGGAGAGTGACTGAATGGTTCAACAAGCTCCCCCGGGTAGGATTGATTCTTTTGACGAACTGGCGGATAAATTCAAAACCAAGTTCCAAGATAATTACACCAAAAGAAAGAAATTCACCTACCTCAGCACTATTAGGAAAAAGGAATCGGAGAACCTCACCTAGTTTGTGACTCGGTGGAGAGTCGAGGTGGATAAAGTCGAGGAAATGGATGATAAGAGAGCATTGTCACTCTTATTGAACGGGCTCTGCGTCACACAATTAGACAAGGAGTTCTACCGATGACCTCCCACTCCATACCAGGAAGCCTACAACACGACTTGGGAGTTTGCTGAGGCCGAGACCTAGGACCGGGCAAAGAAGGAAGCAGAGCACGGCGACAAGGCAAAGCTGGTGTGGGTGAAAAGGGAGGACGCTCCCGGGAAAAGTAAGCCCAAGCATCATTATGACATGATCACACATGAAGTCAAAACGGAAGAGTGTCACTAGGTGAGACAGGTCGTGGTGAAGGCTGGGAATCCGGGTCGGACATGGTCGGACAAGTATTGTTCGTACCATAAATCAGATTTCCACAACACCTCTAAGTGCAAAAGCATCAAGGGTTCTATCCAGAAGATGATCGATAACTGCGAGCTGGGTGGAGATTATCTTCGCAATGCCCAAGAGAAGAATCACTAGTGGGTGAGGCCTAAGGGTGTGTTTGGTTGGAAGGTAGGGAAAGGGAAAGAATGGATGGGAGGGAATGGAAAGGGAGGGGAAGGATTCACACTGACCCCCTCACCCTTTATTTCTTACTTCTTCTCCCTTATTATTATTATTATTATTATTATTATTCTTATTACCATTATTATTATTATTATTCTTATTCTTATTATTATTTAGTTGTTTTACTACTATATTTTTAACAAAAAAATACTAAAGCTCCCACCAAAAAATTGGATACTCCATTAATCTTTCACAATCTCTATTAATGTAAAAAAAAAATTATTGTTTGGTACCCTTAATTTTGTGCTTAGAACTGTCGAGCACCTTCAATTTTATAGTAAAACTATTAATTAATTTTTAATAACAATAATAATGATAATAATAATGAATATAATAATAGAAGAAGAAGAACATATTTCTTCATAATATTAACAATAATAATTTAGAAGAAGAAAATAATACTTTGTAATAAATATAATAATAATAATAATAATAATAATAATAATACGTGGTAATAATATAACAAGAATGATGGTTTTTTGTTAACAAAAAAGAATGATGATGATGATACTAATAATAATAATAATAATAATAATAATAATAATAATAATAATAATAATAATAATAATAATAATAATAATAATAATAATAATAATAATAAAGGAGAGGAAGTAAGAAATAAAGGGTGAGGGGTCGGTGGGGGTTAGGAAGATTGGAAGGGTGGAGGAGAAGAAAAAGAAGAAAGAAAAAGAAAGAGAAAAAGAAGAAGAGAGGAGGAAAACGAAGGAAAGGAATGGGGATGGTAATGATGATGATGGATGATGATGATTATGCATTAACTGATAAAGGGGATAGAGGGAGAGGGGATGTAAAATCTACCCAGGGTAAGTTTTTTCAAAATTTAGTGTATGTGAGAGTATATTTTGAAAAATAGGGGTATTTGGCGGTCTTACAACAAAAAATAAAAAATGAGGTACCAGACACTAATAAAATACTTCCTCCGTCCCTAAATAAAGTTCCATTTTTGAATTTTTGAAGATTTAAGGGAGAGATATTTTTGTGTTGACTTTCTAAAAATACTCTTGATGTGATGTGTAAAAGTAAGATGTGATAGGTAGATTATTAGTAAAAAGGTATGATGTGATAGATAGGGTATGAAAAAGTAAGGGGTAAAAGGAGTTTTTTAAGGAAAAGAGAAGTTTATTTAGGGACAAAAAAACGAGAGAGGAACTTTATTTAGGGACGGAGGGAGTAACAGTTTTTTTGTGTCCAAATGAGTTACAAATTCTCTCTATCCTTACTTTTATCGCAAACTACCCCAGTACCCCTTCGAATCTACTGGGTTACCTGGAGGCTGGAGCCTCCATCCCAGTCATCGGCACAATTATGTCTTCCAAGTCCAGTTCCGAGCTCACCGGCCAGCTTAGAATTTCCGGCCTTGATTCCGCCGGTAAAAATGGACCGGCTTTTGTTGGCCAGGTTTTCAGTATGTGCAACCTTTCAGGCACTGGTCTTATGGCTGTCTCTACGCACTTCGACGTCCCTTTTCTTTCTAAAATGTATTGTTTTCTTCAACTATGTGTTTGTGAATGCAACAATGTCGTTTTTTCTCAACCGCATCTATTTTTCTGATAAAATTTGAACAAGCCAATCTTGCAATCAACGCATTAAGCTCGACTAGATAGGTACTCCCTATCTTAGTGAACTTTGAAGGCTGAGGAAGATGGGGTGTACTGTCTCCGAATCCAAAGTTTCTGCCTTCAGTGTTGGCAAATGTGTCAATGACTCAATAAACTTGACTAGACCTGCCTCGTTATATTTTTTGTTGTTAATTATTTGCCAGTGTTTTACAGGACACCTGAATGGCTTAAGAAGATGGTTGGTGCCCTTACTAAGACCGATAGAAATGGACCTGTGTTCCGGTTTTTTATGGATCTGGGTGATGCAGGTTGTCTAATAATGCTGTAATTATGAGTTTTGTGCTCCAAGTATTTCACGTCCTTAACACTCACTAATGATACCATTTATAAGTCCCATTTTTTGAAAGATACTACGTATTTCTATTTTCCTTTATGGCCCAGTGAATTTAGTATTTGGTTGTAAAGGATGTGTTTCATTCCTTTGAATGAAATTCTCACACTGTTTTTGCATTTTAATCTCTTTTATTTACTCCTCACTGTTTCTCTATTTTCTAGACGTGACAATTTTTTCTGCCAAAATATTATAGCTCTCACACTATGGTTTAGGGTTGAGTGATAGACTGATAGGAGAGTTGAG